GACAAATCCCTCAAAGTCAACTTCACGGAGTGGCCTTGAGGGATGAAACTGCCGCGGCTAGGTCAAGCGTCGTCTTTCCCTCCCCCGGGTGGACACGTCATAATACTTTAAGCCAATTACAGCTAGCAGCAGAGGAGGGTAGGGATGCATGGCCAATCACAGGTCTGATACGTCATATGACGTCAGTGATAACGCAACAAAGACACACACTGCGCAACCTTACCGCGCCGCTTGCCCAAGCGGAGGGAGGAGGAGGGGAGGCAGGCAGGCGGGCGGGCGGGTGGCGCGTGGGGAAAATCTAAAAATAGCGTCGCGCCGGACACACTCCGCGTAATGGCGTTCGCGACCGCGGAATGTAAGAATGTTAGGTTCTGGCAAGGCACCGCGTTAACGGTGAAACGCGGAATGCGGGACCGCGTAATATGAGGACCAACTGTGTGTGTGTATATATATATATATATATATATATATATATATATATATATATATATATATATATATATATATATATATATATATATATATATATATATATATATATATATATATATATATATATATATACATATGACTTACAATTTTTGTCATTTTCGGCCAAAAAATGGATTTTGTTAAAAATTTCAGTATAGGTACTCCTGAATGTGCTGCTTAAGGATCTGTTAACCAAAATTTGATATCTTGATAATAACTTGTTCAATTGGCTTTTAGAAAATGTTCAAATGATTTTTAGAATACTTTAATTACTTTTGCAATGCTAATTACTCGCCACTTATGGGTTTTCGAGGTCATTTCTTGGTGCTTGTGTATTATTCTGGATGTACTTAAATAGTTAGGCACATTAAATTTTAGTTCAGAGAAAAAGTATTTTTGGCCAAAAATCCTTTAAGGCCTAAGACTTACAATTTTTGTCATTTTCGGCCAAAAAATGGATTTTGTTCAAAATTTCAGTATAGGTACTCCCGAATGTGCTGCTTAAGGATCTGTTAACCAAAATTTGATATCTTGATAATAACTTGTTCAAATGGCTTTTAGAAAATGTTCAAATGATTTTTAGAATGTTTTAATTACTTTTTCAATGCTAATTACTCGCCACTTATGGGTTTTCGAGATCATTTCTTGGTGCTTGTGTATTATTCTGGATGTACTTAAATAGCTAGGCACATTAAATTTTAGTTCAGAGAGAAAAAGTATTTTTGGCCAAAAATCCTTTTAGGCATAAGACTTACAATTTTTGTCATTTTCGGCCAAAAAATGGATTTTGTTCAAAATTTCAGTATAGGTACTCCTGAATGTGCTGCTTAAGGATCTGTTAACCAAAATTTGATATCTTGATAATAACTTGTTCAAATGGCTTTTAGAAAATGTTCAAATGATTTTTAGAATATTTTAATTACTTACTTTGACAAAAATTGTAAGTCTTATGCCTTAAAGGATTTTTGGCCAAAAATACTTTTTCTCTCTGAACTAAAATTTAATGTGCCTAACTATTTAAGTACATCCAGAATAATACACAAGCACCAAGAAATGACCTCGAAAACCCATAAGTGGCGAGTAATTAGCATTGCAAAAGTAATTAAAATATTCTAAAAATCATTTGAACATTTTCTAAAAGCCATTTGAACAAGTTATTATCAAGATATCAAATTTTGGTTAACAGATCCTTAAGCAGCACATTCAGGAGTACCTATACTGAAATTTTGAACAAAATCCATTTTTTGGCCGAAAATGACAAAAATTGTAAGTCTTATGCCTTAAAGGATTTTTGGCCAAAAATACTTTTCTCTCTGAACTAAAATTTAATGTGCCTAACTATTTAAGTACATCCAGAATAATACACAAGCACCAAGAAATGACCTCGAAAACCCATAAGTGGCGAGTAATTAGCATTGCAAAAGTAATTAAAATATTCTCTAAAAATCATTTGAACATTTTCTAAAAGCCATTTGAACAAGTTATTATCAAGATATCAAATTTTGGTTAACAGATCCTTAAGCAGCACATTCAGGAGTACCTATACTGAAATTTTGAACAAAATCCATTTTTTGGCCGAAAATGACAAAAATTGTAAGTCTTATGCCTTAAAGGATTTTTGGCCAAAAATACGTTTTCTCTCTGAACTAAAATTTAATGTGCCTAACTATTTAAGTACATCCAGAATAATACACAAGCACCAAGAAATGACCTCGAAAACCCATAAGTGGCGAGTAATTAGCATTGCAAAAGTAATTAAAATATTCTAAAAATCATTTGAACATTTTCTAAAAGCCATTTGAACAAGTTATAATCAAGATATCAAATTTTGGTTAACAGATCCTTAAGCAGCACATTCAGGAGTACCTATACTGAAATTTTGAACAAAATCCATTTTTTGGCCGAAATGACAAAAATTGTAAGTCTAATGCCTTAAAGGATTTTTGGCCAAAAATACTTTTTCTCTCTGAACTAAAATTTAATGTGCCTAACTATTTAAGTACATCCAGAATAATACACAAGCACCAAGAAATGACCTCGAAAACCCATAAGTGGCGAGTAATTAGCATTGCAAAAGTAATTAAAATATTCTAAAAATCATTTGAACATTTTCTAAAAGCCATTTGAACAAGTTATAATCAAGATATCAAATTTTGGTTAACAGATCCTTAAGCAGCACATTCAGGAGTACCTATACTGAAATTTTGAACAAAATCCATTTTTTGGCCGAAAATGACAAAAATTGTAAGTCTTATGCCTTAAAGGATTTTTGGCCAAAAATACTTTTTCTCTCTGAACTAAAATTTAATGTGCCTAACTATTTAAGTACATCCAGAATAATACACAAGCACCAAGAAATGACCTCGAAAACCCATAAGTGGCGAGTAATTAGCATTGCAAAAGTAATTAAAATATTCTAAAAATCATTTGAACATTTTCTAAAAGCCATTTGAACAAGTTATATCAAGATATCAAATTTTGGTTAACAGATCCTTAAGCAGCACATTCGGGAGTACCTATACTGAAATTTTGAACAAAATCCATTTTTTGGCCGAAAATGACAAAATTGTAAGTCTAATGCCTTAAAGGATTTTTGGCCAAAAATACTTTTTCTCTCTGAACTAAAATTTAATGTGCCTAACTATTTAAGTACATCCAGAATAATACACAAGCACCAAGAAATGACCTCGAAAACCCATAAGTGGCGAGTAATTAGCATTGCAAAAGTAATTAAAATATTCTAAAAATCATTTGAACATTTTCTAAAAGCCATTTGAACAAGTTATTATCAAGATATCAAATTTTGGTTAACAGATCCTTAAGCAGCACATTCAGGAGTACCTATACTGAAATTTTGAACAAAATCCATTTTTTGGCCGAAATGACAAAAATTTAAGTCTAAAGCCTTAAAGGATTTTTGGCCAAAAATACTTTTTCTCTCTGAACTAAAATTTAATGTGCCTAACTATTTAAGTACATCCAGAATAATACACAAGCACCAAGAAATGACCTCGAAAACCCATAAGTGGCGAGTAATTAGCATTGCAAAAGTAATTAAAATATTCTAAAAATCATTTGAACATTTTCTAAAAGCCATTTGAACAAGTTATTATCAAGATATCAAATTTTGGTTAACAGATCCTTAAGCAGCACATTCGGGAGTACCTATACTGAAATTTTGAACAAAATCCATTTTTTGGCCGAAAATGACAAAAATTTTAAGTCTAATGCCTTAAAGGATTTTTGGCCAAAAATACTTTTTCTCTCTGAACTAAAATTTAATGTGCCTAACTATTTAAGTACATCCAGAATAATACACAAGCACCAAGAAATGACCTCGAAAACCCATAAGTGGCGAGTAATTAGCATTGCAAAAGTAATTAAAATATTCTAAAAATCATTTGAAAATTTTCTAAAAGCCATTTGAACAAGTTATTATCAAGATATCAAATTTTGGTTAACAGATCCTTAAGCAGCACATTCGGGAGTACCTATACTGAAATTTTGAACAAAATCCATTTTTTGGCCAAAAATGACAAAAATTGTAAGCCATATATATATATATACACACACACACACACACACAGTGTGTATGCCGATGTCGTTAATTTAATGCCGTCAATGAACAGAGGCAACTTTTTGTTAACGCTGACGCCATCAATTTTTTGGGCAGGTGACACTACAGGTGACGCAGTCAACTTTTCACCCGAACGGAGTGTCAAGCGTCAATTTGTTTGTCAACTTCTAAAATTTTATATTTTTCCAAGTTCGATTTTCAATTATCTTGTTATAAAGGCGACTGGGAAAAATTTGGCTGCAGCCGCTGCCCGCACACCTGCGCAGCTGTCTACAGATTTTAATTTTCAAGTCAGGAAAAAGACCACCAACCAGCTGTCCAGGTTGGTGGAGAAGTCCGTGCACGAGACTGAGAGCAGCAGTGAGGGAGACGACAAAGACCATGACGTGGAGGACGAATTGTTCCAGGCCCTTTACGAGACAGTGACCCTTTCAAGCGTTTCCTGGGGGAGAAACCTTCGAAAAAACTTTCGACAAGGACACCTTCCCCAATAAGGCCATGAAGGAGTTGTTCATCAAATACAACTCCCCCATCCCCTCTAGTGTTGCCGTGGAGCGCATTTTCTCCATGGGCAAGGACGTCTTGAGGCCCAAGAGTAGCAAAATGAGCGAAAATCATTTTGAGTTGCTAGTATTCTTGCGGGGGAACAAATTAATAATTAAAATTATGTAATATAAATCATAATACAGTAAATGATTAAAAATGAATGAATATTTTTTTATTTTGCATATATTACTCCCATACACAGGAGAATACGCGTTTCGGGGCTGCATTTGTATGTTACCGAAAACTAGTTGACGCTAGGTGTTGACTCTGACGCTAACGGCGTTAATTTATGAAATCATTTACGCCGACGCTGACGGCATCAAATTTCTCGGCCGTTTACGCTGACGACGGCTTTTAATTAAAAAACGGACATTTTCCTACTTTTTGGTACAAAAATAAGGCTCAATAAATAGACATAATATATTCTTTAGAAACTTTCCATTTAAATATATTCATTATGAAATAAATAGGTACGTACTATACTGATTTTATTCAGTATAAATTTGATATAAAGGATGGAAATAAATAACACCCAATTTCTCAAGACTATCACAATTCTGTTGTCTTATTCACTACGTGGTAAAGTGTCATCATCTTCAAATCTGAATTTATTTTGTTCTGTTTCTTCAGTTCTTAACTGTTCTAAAATCTCTGCATCATCATATATTCCCTCCTCAATAACCACTCTACTATATCTACCAGTTCCTCTAACTTTTTCTTCATCACCAGCAAACCACAGGTGTTCTCTGTAGTCATGTTCAGATTCATAATCATGCACAGAATTAACAACCTCACCATCACTCAGTATGTCATCTTCAACAATTGGAGGTATATAATTCCTATTCTTTTCAAATGAATCTTCATCTTCTGATTGTATATCATCTGCCTGCCACAATGGAATGTCATCAACTGAAGTAAACAAAAACTTCTTCCCTGATCCTTCTTTACTTTCACTTTCAATATCACTATAATCTGCAAGCTTCCTCCCATGCTTTATGGATGATGAATCAGACTCTTTCCGTTTTAGTGTGGAATGCTTCTTTTCTTTTTCGGACTTTGAATTTAAGTCTTGTCCTATTTTGGGTAATGCTTCCTTCGTGGCCCATAAGTACACATCCAGAGTTTTCTCGGTGCAGTGGGCAATAAATCTCACAAAAGGTCGAGTATCTCCCTCATTGGCAGTTTGTAAACAATCATAATACATAAGGCGATCTTGTTTACGGATGATCACTGGAGGATACCCAGCCTGCAAAACAAAATACAAGAAAAATATTAACCCCCCAAAGACAGCCCTGCCAATTTTTTGCAAGTGACCTTGAAAACTGATCTTGAAACCACAGAAAAGATCATGCACATCCTTGAGTGGTAATCATAATGTCAAATTGATTATTGCAGCTGCACTGAATTTGGGTTAGCATCACAAAGTGCCAAATACATTGTATGAGTGATGTCAATACCACTTTTGGCAAAAACTGGCTGAAGATTAAAATTAATAAACAAACAAGGAAAGTGCATTAAAAAGCAAGAGTGGCCCTGCCAATGGGAACATGTGACAGGCATTCTGGATATAACAAAATATGAAAAAAATAAATAAATAAATAAAAATAATTTCATCTGCATCTCTATAATATAAAAAAAGGTCGTTAAATTCAAATCACTGTACAAAAATTGTATGAGGAATTGATTAAAAAAAATTATAAACCCTCATGGAAGGTATAAATCATAAAATAAAACCTGAGAAATAAAAAAGTTCAAGAAGTTTTTTGTCTAGTCCCTCCATAATGCCAAAACCACATGTCCATAATTCATATACCCTGTATACATCAACTATATACAGGTAAACCTCTATTTATGATGTCCTAATCAATGATAATTTGCATTAACAATGCTGATATATTAAGACCACTCTCCTATTTGAGATGTAAACAAACCCGTAATTATGATATTCATCATTCCACCAACTCAGATTATGGAACACATCACTCACTTCTTGTCAGCCACCTGGTGAACTACAGTCCAGCCATTGTTTCTTCTTGGTTACATGCACGTGAGAAATGAAACTCAATGTTTATTGGTCATCGTCGGTGTCGTTATTTAGCATCAATGTTTGTTTTTTTACCTTATAGTGAGAGGATATCACTAAAGTTCATATTGTACTTTATTTTCATGACTGTGAAGTGATTTTTTTTTTGTGATTGAAAAGTGTTTTGCCTCTGTAGTTGGGAACATGAGGTGAGTAGTGGCATCCAGTATCATTACTTTTATGTTATCATTGCTTTTTTTACAGTTACAGGAAATTAGTTTCACAGTGTACTGTACTATACATTTACAGTACATGTACTGCAGTTTAGTGACAAGTGATTTCTCTGCTTTAGTGACTGTGAAGTGTTTTTCATAGTTTAGTGACTGTGAAGTGCTCTTGCTCTGACTGTGAAGTGTTTTTTCTGTTTAAGTGACTGTAAAGTGTTTTTGCACTGACGGTGATGTCTTTCTCTGCTTTATTGACTGTACAGTGCTTTCTCTCTGTTTTTGTGACAGTGAAGTGAGCAGTGTAACTGAAAATGTCTGGCAAGTGTTTTAGTAAGGGTCCTGTGTCTAGGAAAGCCAAGGCACCCAGGAAAACAATGTCTCTGGAGGTGAAGCTCGACAATGTGAAGCAGCAAGGGAGAGGTAAAGGAGCGTGCTATGGTTCTCGTGCTCTTGGCATGGTCCGGTGTCTACCATCATTAAGAAGGCACCAGAAGTGAAGGTCATGGTGCAGAACGTGAGCACACTCTCCATTTCTAGGGTATTAAAGACGTGTGAGCCTATCATGGATAGGATGGAGAGTCAACTGCAAGACTGGATTTAAGACAACACTAGACACTGCTTACCTCTCTCCTCAGGGATCATCATGGAGAAGGCCACCAATATTTGGACAAAGCTGAAGGCAGAAATCAGTGACAGCAGGAAGAGTGAGATCTCTTCCTCTCTTTCAAGTCAATTCCTGGGTGGTTTCAGCGGTTCAAGAACCGGGCCAATCTTCGCAACCTTCGTCTGACTGATGAGGCAGCCAGTGCTGATGTCATGATTGTGCCTCTTCAGACTCAAATTGATGTTTTCACTCTACCTTTAAGAGTCTCCAACTGGCCAGGAACCTGTCCCATTGAGCCCCATTTTATAATGAACCTGATTTACAATATTTCGACCTGCAATGGGTTTTTTAGGAACCTAACCCCATCATAAATAGAGGCTTATTTGTATACAGTCAACCCTCACTTTACACGGTTTCCACGTTTACACGGTGCCCTGCCAGAACCCAGGATGCTCACATTCCGCGGTGGGTGTACCCCTTTACACGGGTGAAGTATAATTTTTTTATTTAGCTCATGAAAATTCATACAAATTATCTGGCCAGAATATAATTTACATTGCTGGAATTCTTACAATTTGATGATCATTTTGAATACAAACATCATAGAAAATTTGAATTTCAGGATTAATCCTCCATTTCTATTATATTCACCCTTCAGCCACCCAAACTAGACAAGAGGGATGGTGGTGCTACAAATGCTCCGAGCACTGGGCAGACATGAATCCTTAGGAGTGTACACCATACTGTACACTGTATGCCATTTATTAAGGTTTAAAGGGTACTAAAGACTCCTTAATTATTCTTTATAATAGAGTTCTTCAGTGTTGTTTCCACTTTTCATAGCAGCCAGCTGGAGAATTTATTTTCAAAATGGGGGATTCTACTTGAAACCAGATAGTGGGCAGTATATGTGGCATTATGTGTGCTAATCCAATAAACAATGCTATATAAGACCTGTCTAATAAGGGTAACTATAGCACCTGCTTATCCCCATTTGGTGGCGGTGATGGTATACCCCCCAAAAAAGAAAACAACAAAAAGAAAAGAGTGAACATATCAACCTCAGTTAGCATAAAGGGGGACATTTGGGAGATCCCCAAAATCCCACTAAACAACCAGTATTTGAGAGCTGCCTGGCTTACACAATGCACTTGAAAAGTAAAAGTTTTAAATTAAGTGTTTTTTAATCCATCGAACACTTTCTTTAATTCAACAAACATATGTCCAATAAATTTAAAACACGTAGCAAATTCCAATTTATCCCAAAGAATACTTGAAAAGGTGCTAAATATAAAACTGGAATTCTCTATGTAATTTTTTATATACTCCCTGTACAGTAATAGTACAGTGGGGCATGCTATAACGAATCTAATTGGTTCTAGAACCTTGTTCGTTATAGCATTCGTTCGTTATAGGATTAATCCGTTCCGGGCCCCCAAATACAACCACTTAACACTGAAAAATATAATAAAATTGTAAAAATTGTAAAAAAGTACATAAATATGCATCTAAACCCCTGAAATAAAGAATATCATTAATACTTGTAATAAAAAACAATAAATTATTTAAAAAAAAATAAAAATTATAAATAATGTTCGTTGTAGGAGTTTCGTTCGTTATAGCATTCTCAATTTTATAGGTAAAACCGTTTGTTATAGGAATATTCGTAGTAAGATCCGTTCGTTATAGCATACCCTACTGTAATTGAATACCTCTATAACAACATTTGCACTCAGTCTATTATTGCACCAACTGTGACAAGTTTCAAACAAATCAATACAAAAAATACTGTTGGAGGAATTGAATACACAAAGTACCGGTATATAGCTACCCTGAAAATTTTGAAAGGTGACTTAGACAAAATCCTCTTCTGCATCTCTGGTTCCTCTCCTGGCAGAGAGGAAATGATACCCATACTTCAGTAGCTTTTCTTTGGCTACCTGAGTATAGTACAACCCCTTTCTAAGCCAAAACATTTTTCCCTTTACTACTAACCTGCATCAACAGAAAGTTCATCAGAAGCCTCGCTGTCCTTCCATTACCATCAGAAAATGGATGTATAAAAACCATTTTATAATGGGCAAGAGCTGCATACTTAATAGGGTGAAGAGTTTGTGCTTCTGGAGAGTTCAGCCATTCTACAAAATCCTCCATGAGCACTTGAAGGTGAGTTGGTGGTGGCGGTACATGATCACTCACATACACCTGAAAAGTAAAAGAGTCACACAGATACATTGCTCTCATCATATACAACTTCCATTAAAATTGATGCCATAACATTTTGAGGAATAATTCTTTAATATAGTTTGAATATTATCATTGTTCAAACTCTTTTCTAAAATATTTTTTTTTTATAAAACTATCATTTTAATTTCTTTGATACAGTATCTCCATTAGCCAGAACAATTCGTGCAGAGCACTTCCGGAATTTTCCAGGTAACGGAAAAATGTTCTTGGAAGTTCCAGACATTGCCCTTTACTTCATCTCTCCAACCCGGAAAAAATCCCTCATCCCCAGAAAATTTTCTCGGAATTTCCAGAAAATGCGCCTGATCTTAATCTCCCAAACCCGAAAAAACTTCCCCATCCCCAGAATTTTCCGGGTACCAGGAAAATTTTCTTGAAATTTTCCGGAAAATGTGCCCCCAGAAGATCTTCCCCAAAGAAGAATTGTCCAGAAAATTTCGTCTTAGGGAACGATTTTCTGAGAAAATTTAAATTCCGGCTATCGGAGAGTTCAGGGTTTGAGAGATTCCGGCTAACGAAGATAATGTACCGTATTTTATGGCATATAAAACACACGGCCATATAAGAAGCACCCCCCCATTTTAGCAGGGAGTATTTATATACAATATCAGTAAATGTGAGGAATAAATAAATTTGATACCAATAAATAAGTTGCAACAAAATATACTGTATTGCCAAACCAGTAAATAAAAGCCAAATGAAAGTTTAACGCAGTCGCCATTTGCATATTACTCCCCGATTCACCATAGCAACGGAGACACCACCTCCGCCGATTCCCTAGCAAGCCCCCCCCTCCCCCCCAACATGTCTCGGTCTCGCCACTCCTGCCCCCCCAGTAAGCCAGCTAACTCATGTGCAAAGAAAAGTATATTCCCTTTATGTGTTTGCCCTTAGGACAATTATTTCTTTTACATTTTTCACAGTAAGTATGTAGGATGGTGTGTGCATGTAACTGAGCAAAAAATAAATGAAGACACTTATGTATTCCTGTCCAAAAATACGAGAAGAAAAACCGTAACACCTCACAGGTTGGCCCAGTAGCCTGGTGGTTACAGTGACACGTCTAACCTGGCTATAATGCCGTCAGCGATGTTAACAGATGCAAATGTGAAAAGAAAGTTAAATATAAACCTTCATTTGTATCAGGTATTTGTACATTTAAAAACAAATGTTGCAGGTATGGAAATAATAGACTGTAATGCTTGTAAGAGTTCAGAAATGGTTGCTGCTTGGCTACCTCTGAAGAGTTGGGTGTCTGCCTTATGGATGTTAATCGTCTCAGGTTATCACCAGTACAGAAGTTATAAATCCAGCTTTTATATTTAAAATGATAATTTTTTTAATTAATTAAAAATAAAAATGTGTTAAGTTAAGCAATAACATATTTTTAATTCTGGAGTTGGGTTAGGTAGAATTTAGCCTACTGGAGACAGCAACTGAGGGATTCATTATCTTATGGGAAACCACAACTTCACAAATAGGACACTGGCCGATTCTTTTTAGCCATTTTTCAAACAAAAGAGTGCATCTTATATGCCGTAAAATATGGTAACTCACTGCCACATGGCTTCTACTGGTAACTGAACATATCAAAGAAAAAAGTAAGATAATTTTTTTATCTTATAGATGCCATAGCTACTTCACTCCTGAGCAGTTGCTTCAAGTATAAAAGGGATTCATTCGTCCTAACTTGGAGTATGTACTGCTCTCATATCTGGGGTGGCTCTTCATATGTCCAACTGTTAGATAGGGTGGAATCAAGGGCATCTTTTCTTATCAACTCTCCTCCTTTAGTTGATAAATCTTTCTTCCCTTTCTCTTCATTGCAATGTTGCTTCACTCTCTCTCTTTTACAGGTACTTTAACAGGCAATGTTCGGTGGATTTAGCATCCTGTGTACCGCCGGCAAGGCAGTGTTCTTGTAACACTCGTCTTGTCCGTGGTGCCGACCGTTTCGCTGTGGATGTCAGTCACACTAGAATAACCCGTCATAGTACATCCTGTGGAATGCTCTGCTTTCTTCTGTGTCCCCATACTCATACAATGTCTCACTTTAAAAAGTTGGTTTTCCAGCATCTTCGTGGTATGATTAATATAATCCTTTACTTTTCTATTTTTAATTTATTTTTACTCTTATTTTTTCGCCCCCCTAGGCCCCGTTGTGGGTAAATGACCTGTGCCTGGGCCTGTAAAAAAAAAAAAAAAAAATGGGGTGGGGGGGGGAGGGGGTGTAGGTGGGTATCAGAAATTACCTGAGTACTGCGCAACTTCCCAGCTTCTAATGGGTCAACATGGCCGAGGACTCTCATGTGAATCTCCAGGACGTCATAGAGAGATATACGACCAACTCTATGAACGAGAGTCGTATTAATATACTTGAGGGCCAGGTCTAGACCCAAGATCTCATTGTGCTCCATCACACTCTTCCCTGATGACAGAAAAAATAACAAAATTATGTGTTGTACCCTTAAGCAAAATCCAAAAATCACCTCATAATACAGTACAGGTAAAGACCGTTACACTATGGATCTACATATGATTGATCAGGTTTATGATGTTAAAAAATTAACACCATTTACTGCTAGGTGATGACTAAAGATCAGTTTTATGATGGTCGCTAGCTGAATGCTTCTCCTGCATTGTCACTGCTTTGAAAAAGTGATGTGCAATAACTCATAATATTCCAAGATATGCTGACACAATTGTGGCTGGAATAACACGTGTGACCCATGCAGGATTCTTGAGAGGCTCTATCCGACCCCGTTGAGTGTCAGGCTAAACAGTTGAACTGTGCCACGTCGCCCAGAGGATGGTTTTGGTGTGGAAGAAGCTATTCTTTGTACATCTCAAAAAAGTTCTGTATCTTCCAGGATGGGTCCGATGACTTCCAAAAGGCTACATGCAACTCATGATGTCCCGGGAGGGTTGGTATGTGTGGCTCTGTGGCATACTGATCATACTACATTTGGTAATCGAACATCATATTAATTACGTTGGAATAAATACACAGTACTTTTTTTTAAAAGGCTTGCTAGTTCCAGACGACAGACTGGGTTTACCTTCAGTACATGCATGGGTATTTTTTATAGAGAAGAAAGCCTAAAATGCCCAGTACATATTTCTAAACATGAGCTGTACATCATAAAATTTTAGGTATGTCTTTAAGGGGTCACTTTCCCAAACCCCTTACTTCCCATTGGACTCATCGACTGCCAACCAAAGACTTCTAGAATGTAATCTCTACAATTGATAAGGAATTACTGTTTTGCTTAGTATCTGTTCACATTCCTCACATAGCTCTTATTATTTCCCACATTCAATTTGGTCTCTACTCACCTCCCACACTTAGTCTGGTCTCCAAGATCATCCGAGTTTGAGCAAGACTCATGGTATTTCCTTCGATCCCTGCAGTGTGGTAAATGTACTGGAAATATGCCTCCTTTTTAATCCGGCGGAGAGCAGCAGATGAACTGGGGATTTGAGCAAGATCATCTCTTTTGTTATCAATGCGGTTTAATGTCATTGAATCCATTTCTTCAACAAGTGGCCGAGTTCGTCTACGGTTTCTGTGGTAAGACACACATGTGATTAATAACTAGGGTAAGTTGACATTTGAAACAAACAGTCTTAATTATCTGTAAGAACTCTTTATAATCTTATCTTCATGTTTATGAATCATATTACTCTATACCTGTATTGAATAAAATAAATTGAAGAATAAATTGGGAATTAGGTCTGTAAAACAGAATCTCTGACAACAGTTGCAACGATTATTATGGATTACAATATCAACTACAGTACTCTTAAATATACCATCACCAAGAGATGGATTTATTTGGTTTTAATTTAGATAAAATTAAATTACAACAAGATATGGTAGAACAGTATATTTGAAAAGCAAAGTTTAAAATAGATAAGGTTTACTCTAAAATTTATATTAAGATTACAAGAGATAAAAGTTTCTACCTTTACTGATCTTACTGATCACATCTGAAAGGTTCATTACAGTATACCGTAATTTTTTTAGATTTTTATCTATGTACTGTAATTCATAATAACAGCCTAAGCTCTTGACTTAATTTTCTAATTATATACATTAAACTGGAAGTTGAATGTACAGTACTCATGTTCAAAATCCTTTTTAATTTTGCTATGAAATTAATACAATACTTGTAGTGCATATTTTCTCAGCTGAGAAAAGATGCCCCCCCCCCCTCCTCAAGAGTTACAGCTAATTGGCTGTTGCAAACCTGTCCAATTTTGTTCTAAAGAAATGATGTAATAAATGAGTTTATTCATAATCGTTGGGATGACTGTTTCTGACGAGAAAGATATTTAGCTAAATTATATAAAGATACATACATTCATTATTTCAGACATAAGCAAGTAGGAAGTATATCAAAAGTATTATACATGAATTAACTGTTAAACTCTGGTAGCAAATTCACGCTATCGGAGGATGCATTTAATATACAGGCAGTCCCCGACTTACGACGGGGTTAGGGACCCAAATCCAGGTCGTAAGTTGAGAATGCAAAATTAATACAGTACAGTACATAGAAAATCTAAAATGGGTGTCTCTTTTTCTTCTCAGCACCACAAAACTCTCACTTTTAAGCTTGCCAGCCATTTGAAATGGAATTACAAATGCAAATTTTGTCAGTACACAGCGCAATCACTAACGTTGGGACTCGAAAATACGTAATTTGAAAGAATTTTGGTAAGACTGCATCGGTTGTATGTCCGGGTGGACGTAAGTCGAGTAGGTCGTAAGTCGAGAAGTACCTGTATATAGGTACTCCCCGACTTACGACTGACTCGACTTACATCCACCCGCACTTATGACCTGCCTCAGTCGTACCAAAATGTGGTCAAATTATGTATTTTTGAGTCCCAAAGTCAGTACACAGACAAAATTTTCATCTGTAATTCACTTTAAAATGGCTGGCAAGCTTAAAAGTGAGTGTTTTGTGGTGCTGAGAAGAAAAAGAGACCCAAATTTTCGATTTTCTATGTGTTATTTAAGCATTTACGACTTACGACCATTTCGACTTATGGCCTGGATGTCGGTCCCTAACCCCGTCGCAAGTCAGGGAGTACCTGTACTTATTTTTACCTACAATAAGACATACTAAGACAAATCACATATCAGTAATAGTACATTATGCAAAAACAACATTTTTAAAGAACAAAATCATATTGAAATATTAAACGACCGTCAGCAGAGGCGGGAAAAATATGAAGTTGTTTGCAGTCATATTTCCCGCCTCTGCTGACAGTCGTGTTATATTTCAATGTGATTCTGATCTTTTAAAATGTTGTTTTTGCATAATGTAGTATTACTGATATGCAATTTGTCTTAGTATGTCTTATTGTGGGCAAAAATAAGTACTATACATTAAATGCATCCTCCGAAGGCGTGAATTTGCTACCAGAGTTTAACAGTTAATTCATGTATAATACTTCTAATAAACTTCCTACGTGCTTATGTTTTAAATAGTGTATCTATGTATCTTTGTATAATTTAGCTAAATATCTTTCTCGTCAGAAACAGTCATCCCAACGATTATAAATAAACTCATTTAGAAATACATCATTACTTCATGACAAAATCGGACAGGTTTGCAACAGCCAATCAGCTGTAACTTTTGAGGAGGGAGCGGGGCATCTTTTCTCAGCTGTGAAAAAATGCGCTATAGTACAGTACCTGTACATAATTTTCAGGGAAGCCATATACAGGTACAGTAATTGAATCCTTTAAGAATGCTTTAACAGCTATGAAACTGTTTATATATTCAGTATGATGTAGTAGATTCTCTTGCCCCATATGGTCTTTTCAAACCAATATGACATTGAAAAGTCCTTTAAACTTTTCTGGTGGAAAGTCAATGTCAAATACCTCTTCCAAAGGTCATGTAATGCATGTTTGTATAAAGCAAGTGTTTGTTACTGATAAGGGTTCCCAATAAGGGTATCCATTAGAGTAACAGTGAAATAAATTTTAACCCTTAAGCCCCGGGTTAGGTTGCTGTTGGCCGTACCACCCACGCTGGGGAAAATCGAGAAAAATCAACTTTTCCAAAAATAATTTTTAACCTTTTTAAATGATAAAACAATAAAAAAGTAAAAAAAATATACAGTATATTGACCCTCTAGAAACTTCCCAGGCAGCAAGGAGGGAGGGAGGGGGAGGGAGATAAGGGGACATCTTGTTATGATGGCAAGCTCTCGTGGTCACCTACGCACTTAGTAGCTAGTTTTAGCTTGCCTTCCGGGATGGTCAGTAATGCATATATTTACTGATCATAATACTTTATCTTAAAAATAATTAATTTAGAATTTATTTTATTTGCATTTTTTTCATGAGTGCTCGGCGACACACACGCAGTTTGTCGCCAGGCTGTCTGGCTGTCTTTGTGTTTGGTAGAGCAAGTAATGCGTAGAAATAATTATCGGAATAATAATTACACAAATAAATACATTTATAACAATCATAGCATTATTTTCCAGGAATACTACACTACTGTACAATACAACTACAGTACACTACTTTTATCAATATTACTTTGATACAACATGATAAAATGGACAAACAATGAAAATGAAACAAACAAAATTAGGTAATTACGTTCAGGAAGCTTCCCTGTGGCCGAGCGTGTGGTGTGAGAGGCAAATAGTAACACTGGAACCTGATAACCCGCGCTGGGCATTTAAACAATGGCCGGTAAGGGCGTGCGTTCTGGAACGTCACCCTGGGCGTAAGGGTTAATGAAGTTTCAACTTTCCTAAATGTGATATTAGAACTGTTCCCAATTGGAATCATAGTGTCAATACTGCCTGCATAATATACAAGCACAAATCTTGCACAGCATAAGGTTTACATATTGTATTTCTTTTCCTGTGGAAGCGTGGAAAAAAAAGTAGTAGTGTAAGTATAAAGGAAACACAAGATACACACAGTGATCCCAGTCGTTAGAAGAGCTTCTGTAATGGCTACCCTCCTATACAGGGATAGCTACAGAGCACACAAGATTATTCAAAAGTGGAACTGAATTCTTACCTTAAAGCCCGAGAATGAACAGGAGATACGGCCAAAGCTCGTAAATACATCCTGTCTGCTTGAACAACATCATTACGGTGCTGTTCAAGATATTCCCCATAATGTATGAGGACATCTGGGTGACGTGGAGCTAATGTAAATGCATGTTCTAGTAATCGTCCAGCCCGTGCACATTTTCCTGAATGAACCAACTCCTTTGCAGCTTTCAGTGTATTCAGTGCTTCAATTTCTGCATCTGTAAATTTCATTTTATGATGTACAGTATACCACTTTATAATATTTATAAAAAATAAAATAAAAATTCAGTCTCCCTTAGTTGTTAACTCTTAAACCCCGGGTGACGTTCCAGAATGTCCGCCTATTTCCCCGCCATTTTTTTTATTGATTGTTTATTATTTTTGTAAAGTTGATATTTTTTGCGGTTTATCTGTGCACGGGGTTACTGCCAGCAGCACCCTAACCTGGGGCTTAAGGGTTAATAACCAAATTTTAGTCATCTGGGTTTTCCCCTCCAGATGTTCCCTTGATTCTGATTACAGTACAATATACTGTACTATATTTATAAACAACTCTGATCTGCCCATTTTAGTCCTGCTCACATGAAAATCACACAAACCACCTTTGAAAATAGCTATTCCATTTAAGAATGGTCAGGTGGGTTTATTTTGTCTGTTTTAAAGGAAGGTTAAGTCACCACAGCTACCATGATAAAGTGCCACCATACTGTAATCTTTTAGGTTAGGCTAGGTTAGGTAGTTTAATTTCGTTCACTTGGACGATCCCTTTCAGCAACTACTAACTGAAACCTAACCTAAAATACTATGGTACATAACCAAACCAATACCAGAGCTATAGCAAGTGAAGGCCTGGCGATCGGACAAACCCTACTCCCCACCCCCCTCTGCCCTGTTTATACGTTGATGGGTAGTTTTGGAACTACCGTGGCTGGCAATGTTGCACTGTGTCATACCATCATTCATTGACTGCTTCTAACTGTACCTACAGGTAATCACTGAGATGAAGAAAATAATGAGTCAAATGTTGGTTGGCATCAGGTAACTTAATTAAAGCCAAAAGAAATTAAAAAATTTATATTATGCAAAACATAATGTGTGTTCATTTTATGTCAAATGAGGTAAGAAAGCACTTATATTCAATGGTGAAATATCTTACAGTAGGGGGTTAAAGTGGTAATGCTGGAGGAGATGGCTAACACCAAGAGTTGTTCAATTTCATTATTTTTTCCACAGATGTTCTTGTATTATAGTAGAGGTAAAACACAGTGAAAAACTGATCATATGACATTAAATGATGTCTGTGCTTTTTACGTGAAGAAATTGATTATTTACCGTAAATACTCCTCCGAAAAACCCGGTCCGACTAATTAGCCAAATGTAGCCGCAATTAAGTCAAATAATGGTCCTACATGAATAAATCGGACTGCCAATCACTTCTCGACTAGTATTTGGTGTCACAAAGTAAATAAAAATTGGAAACTTACTTTAATCTGAGTTAATAGATCACGTGCATGTACCAAGGGAGCGAGTAATTACCCAAATGTAGTCGCAATGAAGTCAAATGATGGTCCTACAAGCGTAAATCGGGCTGTGAATCACTTCTCGATTATTATTTGGTGTCAAAGTCACAAAAAATTGGTAAACTTAATTTAATCTGAGTTGTGTTAGGTTAGGTTAGGTACATGCACTCGATCTATTAACTCAGATTAAATTAAGTTTACCAATTTTTTGTGACTTCGTGACACCAAATACCAGTCGAGAAGTGATTGGCAGTCTTGTATCATTTGACTTCATTGCGGCTACATTTGGGTAATTACTCGCTCCCTCGGTACATGCACGCAATCTATTAACTCAGATTAAATAACGCTTTCCATTTTATTTTTACTTTGTGACACCAAATACTAGTCGAGGAGTGATTGGCAGTCCAATGTATTCATGTAGGACCATTATTTGACTTCATTGCGGCTACATTTGGGTACATTTGGGTAATTAGTCGGACCCCGAAAAACCTGCCGAGTTAACATGTGATGTCATCTACTCAGTTTTTTTACAACCAACCCACTCGGCCTGAGCGTACTCTCACGTCCACAAAAAACATAAAATTACACATGATGCTTTAACCACGTTGCTGTCATTGGTGCCAGATATCAAAATAAGTACTGTACAGTACTTTGTTTAATATGGCAGGGTCTCTGAGGGGTGAAGCCCCCTCGGCTAGGAAGTTGGGTAAGGTTTCTTTGGTTGGTTAGGTCAAGTTCTATATGGTCTAGTAAATGTCGTCTCTTTTAAATTACCTACTATAATGATAAGAACATCGATGGAAAAATGAATGAAACTGAACAATGCCTTCTGGTGTAGCCATCCCCTCCACCATTACTGTTAAGGTATACTATATAACTTGACTAGACTGTGTACTCAAAATACTTTTGAATTTATTCAAGAGCCAACAGAGCGTAACAGAGATGTCACCGACTGCCCAAGCGGCTAGCAAGCCGATCAGTGGCGAAGAGGATTAAAGTAAAGTGAAAGCAAAAAATGCAAGTTAGCCACGGTTTCTGCATTTTTTGCTGTCTGCTCCACCTTTACCCCATGAAGTGATCCTACACAGGCCACTGGCCTTCTTCCATCAGCAATACCCTTCCTTAGGTAAATAAGGTAGGTAAATATGTTATCACTCAGTGACACGTTGTTGCTAGTTAACATCTGCAACAGATCCGTGATAACTTACATTTTATTCCTACAATACTTTACTCACGTCTATCCTCTAGCTCCGTTGTCTGCTTTTTTGTAACAGACTGATCCACTTCGTGTGCCCCCAGCAGTGCCATGGCTACGTAGCCCTCGTCCATTAGCTCCAGGTCAGCCCCAGCTGGGATAGCACCCAGTGAAGAACCCAGCAGTGTATCATCACCAGCTGTGTAAGATGCCCAATAACTGGACATCACGGACACTAATGACGCAAAAATCACTCCACAGAGGAATACTATGAAGAGAGCGCATTTGTTCATCTCTTCACTCTGTAATTTTCGGATGTTATCGATAGTAAAATCATAATTAAAACTAGGTAAGTTACACAAGCGACCGAACACTTTCCTCATCTGTCTTGGAGTGACGTCATCTGTTGTCTTCCTTGGTTGGTGAAGTTAACACAACTCCAAGATGACCAAGATATCTTTACGAAATCCTATGTGTAAAAATATCCTTTTTATATTAAAATATTTCTTTTAGCTTCATAGTATTAAATTATTATATACAGTATTTCTATTTTAGCTATTTTTGTTTACGAATCTTGAATGCACTGTATCACTGTATCACTAACACCAAATAATATTTCTAACATGGATATACAATACAGTATATAAATGCATCGTTTTACGAAGGATAAAGAACTGAGAAGATGGATTCATTTATGCAAGAGGAGAGACTATAAATGCTGAAACTGGCCAAATATGCAGCTTGTGTTTTGAGATCAGTGTGTTTTGGGAGAACTTGACATATAAACTGCTTGGACTACCTGTACCAAGAAGAATTGTAAGTATTAAGAATGGAGCAATACCAACATTACAACTGCCAAGTAAGAGAGACCCGATACCTGCCATTGTGCAAGGGATCCACACACTGCAGGTGAGTTTTGTGGCAGGTATCCTGTAGTGGATTCCTCCCCTACAAACGCTGTTTGTCGCTGAGTAGCCGACCCCGCGAATTCCCCAGCGTATGCCTCGTGGTCTAGGTCAACCAGCGCTGCCTTACATGACGGAGGTCAACTATTAAGCCACGCCTACCTCCGCTATATAAGACCTGACCTCGTGGTAACCCGCTCTCTTCTTCTAGCTACAGCCGCAGCAAGCAACACCTCCTCCTCCTCCTGCCTGGCGGCCCTCACTCCCGCCGGCGAGCATGGCGACCCACAAGCTGGTCCTCCTCTGAGCATCCTCACCAACCAGCTCTCTCTACATCACGCTTGTAACCACGCTGCCACTTCCCAGCACCAAGCTGCATTGTACATCCAATACAACATGTATACAGAGAGCACATTGTGAGTTTCCTTTCTCCATACCATCCTGAGTGTGAACCCAAACATCACGTACCCCACAATCCCTCACCATACGAATGTTCAAGTTACAGGATGTGCTTTGATTTAACGGCAAGCTTGGGATCAGAGCCTTGTCATTAAATTGAAGCTTGAATCACAGACATGCTATTAAACCTGTACTGTATAAGTACAGGTACTTATATTTTGGTAATTGATCAAATTCAGTATACATGAAGAACATAAGACTGGAGGAAACTGCTGCTGGCCTATTGGCCCATACTGAGCAGTCCCATTTACACCCAACCCCTATTGCTCATATATCCATCCAACCTACATATGAAGCTATCAAGCGTATTCGAGTTAATGATGATATTTGGGAACTTGTTCCACTCGTCCACTATATTTCCAAACCAATGTTTACCTATTTCATGCCTAAATCTAAATTTGTCTAATTTAAAACCATTGTTAAGAGTTCGCTCCTGGTTGGATAGTTTGAGTACTTTTGTAATGTCCCATTCAGCCCTGACTTCCATTTATACACCTCTATCATATCGCCCCTCACCCTGTCTCTCGAGGGAGTGCAAATTAAGATGATTTAACCTGTCTCTGTACTCAAGGTTCCTAATGCCTGGGATTAGGAAAATAAAGCAACACTTACCAACAGCAACTGGTTTATTCTGCTTCCAAAGCAATGAATTTTGATGTATATATACAGGTATTTGGGTTAGGTTAGGTCAGGTCCACAGATAGGTAGGGTTCTGTGCATTCTCACTTAAATTTTTGTGTTCATTATGATGCAAAAAGTATCTCCAAAAATTTTGGTTCAAATCCATAAGTTATTTATGGTACTAACTGTCTCCTCCACTTTTACATGAAATAATATGCGCTTACCTTTTTAACTTGGCAGTTGTAATGTTGGTATTGCTCCATTCTTAATCCTTACAAATCTTTTTTGTACTTGTAGCCCAAGCAGTTTATACTGTATTTCAAGTTCTCTTAAAATGCACTGGCCTCAAAATGCAAACTGCATATTTGGGCATTTCTTGTAAAAGTAGAGTCTTGTCTCTTGCACAAGTGATTCTAACTTCTTCTTAGTTCTTTATCCTTCAGAAACAATGTAATGTTATATCATCCCTATTTTTAATTTGTGATAAACATTGAAAAACTGAGCAAGTGCTTGGCTTGTTTGTTGTTGTTGTCTCGTGTAGGAGCTAGTGGTGTCACGAGTTCAGAGACACCATAAATCCACAAAATTTAATACAGTAGTTCAGAAAACCTATAGCATGCAACATGTTATATCAATATATCATCCATAAAATATCCATTTCTTTCTTGAAATCGGTAAAATGTAAGTTCTCTCGTGTGATCCAGTCACAGAAATGACTTGTAGGAGGTAATTTACAAATTACAACCGAGCCTTTATGTGTAGCATTAAGCTATATAAACATAACGTTAGCCTTAGACCTTCAAGATCACTTGAGCAATATGTTGAAAGGTCCAATTGAACGTAGTTTTAGAAAAGATTGTGATATGATCCAACCAATTATGAGCCGAGAAGTACAGCACTGTACCTACTTGTTTTTTGTTTGTTGTGAAGTTATTATTGTCAGTCTATAATTAATTACATTTATTTGACTTAGAAATATCAGAAAATCCCATAGATGCATTGAGGTGTGTGAAATGTTGAAATTAACTAATTGAAATTATTCATTTGATATGTGACCTGTGTCTCTAACTCAATTCCTTTAGGTGCTTGAGGGTCGAGTCAATATTGCAGTTGGCCTCCATGTGAACTGAACATGGTTGGACAGCCACATCTCTCCTGATGTGTGTTTAAGGTCAAGATTAGTTGTCAAAAATCATTTCTACTCTGGTTTCCTGCACATTGTTACAATTAACTGAACAGTTTACAAATGACAAACATCTTTGTCATGTTGCAACTACCGAGGCAAATATGAGTTAAAAGGAGAGCTTTAGAGTAGAATATTTAGTAAAGCACTGAAGACCATTCATTTTCTAGCTCACAGGCAGAGTTGGGGAGGGTTCACCAGCATCTTGAAGACACTTTTGTTTTGCAATGACATCGAACACACTGAAAATACAATGAAATGATTCACCAATCCAGATCTTTTCAGAAAAAAACATTCTTCAATTGTTTTTCAATCTAGTACATCATAAAGGGTACAGACAATGTTCTTTCAAGGTAGAATGAGGTAAAGAAACATTACATCCATTCTTTTAATTAATTATCACAAAGCCTACTTTTTACACAAACATGTCACCACATTTATAAAAATAATCTAAAAGTCACTGCGGCACATGAGTGAGTTGAAGAAGACTAAACCTAATGAAAGCACTGATGAGTGTGGACAGCTGCCTCGCCTCCGTTCTGGAACTTTGCACTCCACGCGACTCGCAACAACTGACACCTACCGAGTTAACCATGTGCTGTATTGCCTAAACTTCGTTTTCAAGTAATAAAGTAACAGCAAAATGAAAACAAAATCAACATGATGGTAAACAGCCAGCTAATGTGCACAAAGACTACTTTTCCATCTTCAGAACTTTAGCTCCAGTTGTGTATATGTATACGGAACATGTTGACTGTTTAAGTACTGTACTCACAAAATATAGCATGTTATCAAAGAGCGGCATAAGAACATCATAAATACAGAATAGTGTTTGGTGTTCAGTTCCACAAAAATAAGACGACGAAAGGCAAGCTTACATTTGAGCAGACAGATACAACATTATACATCTGATCCCTAACGTATCACGGCACTTAACATATATAATAAATAATCTTGAAACCATAAAACTTAAATATTAGACATATACACAATGCGTACATAGAATTTTTTGTACTTATGTACATATTACAAGAATCATAAGCTTAACGCCGATATATTTGAGCAGAGTTTGAGAAGTTGTCTCGGCTAGACTAGTCTGATGAACAACGTGGTCAAATTCTTTATCATTAAGAAATGACGCTTAAGTACGTCCGATCATGCAATACCCTACAATGATTTTTGTCCTTTTTTCTAAAAAAAAAAAATACAGAACCCTTAAGTTGAGTTTAAAGCCCAAACACGTTCTTAAACTCTGCTCAAAAACATATATTATGGTCCATTGTTTTCTTGTTCCTAACTTGGGCCCAAAACATTGGTCACTACTTGAGGGTTGACGTCACAATCTTAAGTCGAATCCTGACGAGCTTCTTGCTGCGATTACTAACTTCGCCTGACTGGTAAAATTATTTCAACTCGTCTGTTATTGTTCAACCCAAAACGGCCACTGTACAGGTGAGTGGAAAATGTATGGGGGATGTGTGTGTTTGGGGAGGGGGGGGGGGGCGCATCTCTCGTCACTCCGTCAAGAAGTATCAGTTCTGGACCACAGTCTTTGGCATTAATTGTTTCACGCGGGCAAACACCAAGCTCTACACACTAAATCACCTATGTCAGTTCTCCTCAGACTTTTAAGCTTAATAGCATCAGGAAGTAATGTGATGTTTTTCTACAGTGACCTCCAAAAAACAAGACTGATATTTGCTTCCAACCTGCAACCACTGGGAATAACACTTATCTATTCACAAGTATAGTAGTGTTACAAAACAAAAAATAGCACCAACTCTCTGGCATGTGCCGGAGTACTAAAAATAGTCTAGTGAAACCAAGTTCACTTTCAAATTCGTAGACAGGTTAACCTCTCAAAAATCTATAACAAATAGCCCGCATAAAAATAACATCTATATGATGCCTCCTTTTTCAGGAAATTAATGTATCTGCCTTAAGTTACAAAACCCTACATATGCCATCTGACTGAGTGCAAGAGGGGTACAACCTTCTAACTAGTTTTAAAGAAACTACACGAATATAGAGGCACTGGTGGATGAGCAGCATTATACAATGCAGTCCAATAATGAGTATTCATTTTTATAAAAAAAATACATTGTGCTAGCAACACGTTTTATTGGGCCATTAGTTCCTTGCAAGCGAACTGGAACTGAACTTGACCCCGTTCTAGGGGCTGCAAGATAACTGTTCCAGAGTTACCCCGCCTTTTGTGAGTAATCACCATCTGTCAATTATCACTTCAAGTTCCTTGCTGCGTCGAGTATGGAGCCATGTGTTGCTGGAGTTGTTGTTGCTGATGTGTAAATACTGGGGTCTGGTAGGATGGGAGGCTGTCAGGAGAGGTGATCATGGTATACTGAGGGAGGTGAGGAGTGGTGCCCCGATGGGTAGCAGTGAAGGCTGGGGCCTGGCAGTAAGGTGGTGGTGGGGAGTCATACAGAGATGGTGGCTGTTCGTTTCTACCAACCATCTGCTGCGACGGTGGTGGAGATTGCTGGCCATACACCACCTCGCTACCATCATTCCCTACCATAAGTTTCCTCTGAAGTTGCTGCTGCTGCATCTGAGAATCCTGTCCAAATATGAGAACATCGTTCCTTTGCAGCAATTGCTGGTAACTCAGTATATGCTGACCCAAGCGTCGAGATCCTCCTGCGAGAATTCCGGTACCAAGGTCTCTGGCAGGCCGAGCGCCATCTGTGGCGTCTCCCCCGATGGTCGGCGCGAGAGGACATGGCAACGGAGGCTGAAGCGGACCACATCCCCGGGACCCGCACTCTGGGACGACACTGTCTGGGGGAATACAACAACCTCACAAACCACTCTACTCAAATACCTACACCTTAACTTAGTAATGACCTCTTCGATGCCAGTGCAAGGCTTACTAATGTGACACTAACAAATTGTCTGGCAACATCAATTAACGTAAGTGTCTTGCAATGTAGTAAAATTAATTATGACAAATTTACAATGCTATACTGTACTTAGTAGGGTCAGAATAACAAATAACTATGAAAAACCATCATATTAAAAAAAAATCTTATTTAATGATCCATTTCAAATAACGTCTAATTAAACCTACATCATACATGTACAATGAAATTATATATTTTGGGGGCAATTATTATCCACTTTTATTCAAAGCTAATAATACTGTATATACCTCATGAAAATTTTGTCACCTACATCTTATAACAAAATTACATTCCTTTGGGACTTATTCTAAAACCTAATTAGGTGATGGGGAGTGAAGTAATATAATTTAGCAAGGAGTTGGTGAGAGTGGTGGGGTCACCTTTAAGCGAGCATAGTGTGAGATGGGTTTTAGGATGTATAGATTTGTATGTGAGCGAGTTTTAGTGGAAGAGAAGGAGTCAAGGAGGAAGGGACTCACCGCCGTACTGGAGAGCGTCGTGGTCCATGAGCGGTGAGTCAGACTCGAGGTGGGCACCGCTCATCAGGCAACTGGGGGAGGAGCCGCGGTAATCTTCGTCGGGTGACCTCATCTGTCAGACACAAACACCATATAAACAATATACACGACGCCTCACTTGTCAATAAGTCAGTTACACAACATTAAAGTAGTATAAAAGAAAAAACTACTCAATTTATTGCATTACAAAAACTATGTTATTACATGATCCATATTTAGCTCTGTATGTAATTCACAAAAAGAGAAATGGGGGAATGGGTTAGTGACTGACCTTCCTTTTAGCGAGTGCTTGTTCCTTGGCTGAGTGGTTCTTGACATGCTTCCTGAGGGAGGAGGGGTCCGTGTATCGCTTCTTACACCCGGGTACCGAGCACACGTATGGTTTCTGTAACACCAACACCCACCATAATGTATTAATTCTCCTCTATGATACCCGGATAGCACCCTGTTACACCTAATCTACTGACGGTTACAGATCAAATGGATCCTAGCCCAACTTAAATATTATTGAAGATAAATAGGGCCATCTACCAATCCTAAATGTTTGGTTAGGTTAGCCCAGGATGGGTTAGGTTGAAACCTCTTGGGATTTGTGCCAATTCGACCAGTAACCTTACTCCCACCTTCCACTACCCACATAGCTTCCACCTCCTTTAGTCTTTTGAAATTATCCCTCAGTATACTAAATTTTACTAACTGCTCACAATTAGGGTGGATAATAACAAATGGAAAATTAAACTCACAGCGTCGACGTGTGTTCGTTGGTGTTTGGCTCTGTCGGAGGAGTTGGAGAAGGCCTTCATGCAGTGAGGATAGACACAGATGTAGGGCCTCTCGCCAGTGTGACTCCTCAGGTGGATTTTCAGGTTCTCCAGCCTCGAGAATGCCTTGGTGCAACCTTTGAACTGTAAGAGACAACACTATGTCAGTATGACTGACACTATACTAAAATGTGAGGATGAGCTTAATTGTGAAAACTATTTTTAATTACAAACACTTCATATGACAAATCAGAATTTTTTTTACAATTAATAATCATTTTTGGCTCAATGTCAATAATAGTACGCCAATACCACGATAAGTATCGGTAATGTACACAGCATCATTCCTGTCTCCACAAGGCATGACATCACACACCCCACTCCAGCACAACACAGCCTCAACCACCATACGATCAAGATGTAACGTCAAGTGTTAACACCCTTGGCTTTCCACGCTCCTCACTGTGTGTGTGTGTCGAGGTTGTTTACTTATTCTCCTTGTGGTAGTGGGTAAGGTGTGTGTGTTGGTTTTAATACCTTTATCCTAACCGGTGTTTATTTAATTTCTCGGGTGGGCAGCTGTGTGTGGGGGTGTCGTGTCCACCAACCCCACCCAGCTCCTGAGGTATCTCGTCTCGTCACTCCTCACTTACCAGATTAAAAGGCTTATTACGGGATTTACCATTATTTTTTCAGTATCACCCAGGAATGTATCTTATATACAAAAAAAAATCAAATTAGCCGGAGGGTATTGAAGTTGCCACGGGTGTTGTTTTATTAAATACCTCAGAGGCTCGGGAGATTGAGAGATAAACTAACCACTCTGACAGGTAAAATCGGGCCCAATTAAAAAAGCTAGTCGAAATATATCTAACCAAACCTAATTAAGGATTCGTTCAAAAAGCAAAACCATAATTTATCACCAAAACTTACAACAATAATTTCTTTTAGTTCCGTCATATCAAAATGTAGGATAATTCCTATATAGCATGTGTTAAGAGTCACACGTCGCTTTATTTACTAGTAAGAGCGTAACACCAATGTTGCTGGTAAAGGTAGCCGGTCATACGAGGCTGGCTTCACTGTACTAATTTTCAACAGATAATTATTTTCCAATGTAGGGAAAATAACAAGTTAACTGTGACCATACAGTATCTAAATGCAAAGAAATAACATTATTTATAGGAAATTCGTTGGGAATCGGAGAAATGTGAGTTTTTAGGATACAATTACTGCCTGAAGTTACTGTTGAGGTGTGTGTGGGGCCCAACCAGCCACCACACCACCCACTCACCCAGGCCCAGCCACGCTCACGCTCGTTAACGGCTTAACTGCTCCACTACGGTCATACGACACCCTAAATACCTTTAAGACCCTCTTGTTTATCTACTACATGATCTCAACTCTAGATACTACGTTATAACCCGCCACTTACCTAAAAATACGAACATACCACATACAATGAAAAGAACACATTCTCCAGCACCTGTAACTCATTCACACAATAGTCCACACATGTACACACACACATCACACATAGATACACGTACTCATAAGTGTCACACAAGCACAGACTCAAGAGGGGGGGGGGGGGAGTCTTGGAGACAATAGCCCCACCGTTTAGCATATAACACGTTTGTTTAATAAAACCACAAAAGAAGGTTGACACCGAGACGACTCTTCCCTGGCTGAAAGTGGCGTCTTAGTGTCATTTAATGCTTGGTAGCAGCGGTTCACTTTACTGGGCGGGCCAACTGTCTGCCTCACTCCTCGCCCGCCTCTAGTGACCTCTCACACTACCTCACCACAACTCCACCTAACCCTCCTCCGCCTTACTTCCAAGCACTTCCTCTCTAGTATAAACTGGACGAAAACTACATAAATGTTACACTCAATACATCGGAAAAATTAAGGCGGTTGTCTTATGCGATTCCTTTGTAGGTGAGGAGCATCCGCCCGCTGGGTTTTTAACTGTCATTTCATTTTTGTAACCAAATCTTGCCCATGTTGTTGCTGGTGTCTGTCTGTCACGATATAATTGGCCTTTATTGTTGGGAACATTGTGTGTGAGTGAGCGTGTACGCGTGATTTCCTCCTTTTTGTGAGGCGCATCATAATAGTTACTACTGTAGTGTTCTTACCGAGAAAGGTTCATTCATACGTACTCCTGTTTTCCCCGCTCATTCCCGGGTCAAGTTTGATCTTAAATTGTCTTTTAAAATGATCGCTGAACAAATATTGTAGTATGTGATTATCAGAAAAAAATCAAAGTTTCTTCATTTCCTCAAAGATAATATGCAAACAATATTTTACTGGGATGTACCGAGTTTCTGAAACTGAATAATAACAAATAATAATAATTAACAATTATAATAATAATAAATAAAAACAACAGCAATGATGGTAGCAACAACAACAATAAAGATACTGAGATAATAAGAGGGTAAAAACTTGACTAAACAGTGGTGTGGCCATCTGGTGCTCTCCAGAGAACAGTGCGTCGTCCATCACACTCATTTTCCGCTCTTCTTCCCTCCAAATATTCGACACCTCGGCGTGCCATACAGGCTCAAATTCGGTGGAAAGTTTTTCTCACTTGCCATGACTCCTCCCACATTTTTAAACTTTGACCCCCAACAACTTCAGCCAGAGATCATTAATGACGAGTCAAGTAACCGCGCCAAACGTCACACTTTTTGCGCATGTGTAGAGCCATATGTGGCAGGGAATTTGAAGCCACACACTCCCGTCTGAAATGTTGGAAGTGTTGATGTGGGAAAACTTCGTTCGAGTTTTTGGCACATGCAAACATCATTTAAAGAATGAGCATTTCTGAAAAACAAGTGATAATGAGAGAACCTTACAGAGTGTGAACCTTGGTGCAAGACCTCACTCGATCAATTGTTTTAGTGACCCGGTAATAATTTTGACCGAAGAATGACAATTAGGGAAGTGATAAATATTTTTTTTTTACCGAGGCTCTATCTGAATCCAACAAAGAAAAAAAAGTCACGATTAAATTTTACTGTCGGTATGAAGGACCGTGGCGTGTGAGGACAGTATCTCTTACACAACAGATCTTATGGATTTAAAACTTGCATGTAAAATGAGGGGAAGAAGCGGAGCGCTAGAACCAGGCCAGCTAACCTCACGGTGAGTGTAGGAGAGATTATGGTTATGGTCGAGTTAATATCCCGAGACGAGGCCAGCACACACCCTCACCACAAGTTATTACTCCAGTTCACTGCTCAAGTGTCACCTCCTGCCCACTGGGTCTATAACAGAATGGTCTAGGCTGGATAAATACTACGAACAAAGTTACTGAACTTTCTTCCATTATAAGCAGATAACATCAAGTAACCAAAACTACCTTATGAAGGTTCGTTTTGGATGACCTAGGTTTTAATTAAATGGGTTAGTGATCCTGTAGTGGTACCCTTCCAACATGACACGTGATGGATGTTCGTGTACTCGTGGTGTGGTTGGTGTATTGTTGACGTTATAATGTCATTACTGCACTCCAGTAACTAAAACTAACTAAACCTTACGTATCAACAACTGTCTGTGAGCGACAGCAAACTGATCGTCAGGTTGTCTTATTATTCTTTGTTCATCAAATAATTCCCATTTCTTAAAACCTATTCTTGTCTTCCCATTTATTAAAGCCAATTCTAATCTATCATCCAATATTACAGGATAGTGACGCTCTAAATTTGTCTTTCATCTACGAATGTTGGTTGTTGCTAGGATACTATTTCCTCAACGATAAAACCAAAAACCTGCCCGTGAAAAAAAAACCCGATACCCCACAAAACTTTATAATTTCCCATAAAGTGTCACTCAAACGTTTCACTATAATACATAAATGGTAAACAAAACTAAAATAAAATATCATTTACACAATAAAAAATATACTACCATAAAAAACAAAACCACGTCGGGAGGGGCAACCTTAACGTCTGCCCCCACACGCACAAAAAATAAAACTCACAATACACAAAGAAAATACAATAATCCAACCAAGACACCGAAACAGCCATGCAAGACAAACATTAGCCTAAGGTTACATTATATAGTGTAGGATTCCTGGAGGCTGGTCGCTATCATCGGGTGGCGCGCCTGTAGATCACCCTAACACCACCCGACAGTCCCCCATCCCAGGCCCAGTACCGTGTTTATAAAGTCCCTTTATAAAAGAGTTATCTGATTTTCTTGTTTTATAGACCCAGACGTTTTTATTTTTACAGAGTACCTTTAATGTTCTTGTTTTACAGAGTACCATGGTATTCGTGTTCACAGAGTCCCTTGATGTTCGTGCTTACAGAGTTTCTTTATGTTAATGCCCTCAAAACTTTATGTAAACACAAGAGCCAAGGAACTCTGTCAGCATAAAATCAAAGACTCAGTAAACACAAACATCAAGGGACTCAGAAAATCGACACAGTAAACACAAACATCACAGGACTTTATTAACACCGGGCACAGTCAACGCCCGCCCTCCACCAGTAGAATGGACTCACTCCGAGCATAATATGAATCCCATTTTTTGTTCTCATCCGCCTCTTGTTTCACGAATTATGTCAGATTCCTTTCACCAATTATGTCAGATTTTTAACGTTGTAGTGTGTGAGTGTGAGGAGGTGGGCGTGGTGCTAAGACATGCCCGCCAGACACCTGACGCTAGGCTCTTAATGCTGCCATAGCTCCACGGATTATAATTGTCTCCATCTTTTTTCATCTGTAATAATTGGATGATCAATGTTAACTCGGCTAATTTTCTTCTGTATATCTCGGTAAATTTATTGTATTTCATTGATGGGATACGCGTGGAATTTTTTTTTCCTCAAATTTGATTCAATATTCTGCGACTGAGAGCTGACCACGCGATACAACACGGAGAGGCGTTGAGTGAATTACACGATATATTACAGCTGCACCACGAGGAAGTGTTTTGTGGTTGGCATGTGCTGTGTGTGTGTGTGTGCTCCCGGTTTAAGCCCCAACCCCACACCTGTCCTGAGGGGTCTGAATTAAAGCCTCCTGGACAACCCCCCCCCCTCCCTAGTTAAAGTGCAAAGTAAGACAAAAAAAAAATACTCGGCTAAAGTGCAAAATAGGTTAAGTTAGGTTCGGTTCATAAACTG